TTGCTTTACATTTTACAACACTTCATTTTCCTATTTCTACCTGCTACTATTCTTTCTGTACAATATGTTATACTAATCCTGTTTTTGCATCCTACTGTTCTACATGCATCCTACTGTTTGTCCTGTACTGTATATTTTATATTATATAGCTTTAAGTATGCCTTCTTTTATATAGGACATTTAGAGGACTACAACCATAGGGCCGTTTGATTTGACATCATAACTGGACACCCTAGAAACTTAAACTTGTCACGTCGGGGAGCTTGGAGCTGACGCGGTGGGCAACACGACTATCTTCAACAACAGAACATGTCTTCCCCAGCTAAATCATTCATTTTCCTAGAATTAAACAACAATCCATAGGATTTCGAGGTTGTTTGCCCAACGAAACATAAATCCTTCACCTTTTCTTTAGGCATTCATATAGCTCTGCTGTACGATTTAAGCCATAACTCGTTCTAGGTTCCGAGGTTGTCGTCCGATACGACGTAAACCCTCATATTTTCTAGGCGACTTGTGTGACCGAGTCACACAAATATAAGCCCTAACTAAGTAAAATTGGCCGGATGAAACACTTTAATAATTTCTTCTCGAAATTGAAGCCAAACCATATGATAGACTGGGAAGTTACCGGGGTTCGCCTCCGGATCTACGACCTCCCCTAGTTTTTTCTCGTTTGGATTCCTCAACAATGTTCCAGATTCGAGTTTTTTCCCCTTTCATACCTCTTCGTCCGATTTCGTTGTAAAGTCCTACCCTTTTGACCTCTTTGAAGATAATATTCCCTGATTTTTATCGAGAGTTTTCTTAGGTGACCTTGGTCATTTAAGATATAATTAACTATAGGGGCTTGCCCTTATAGGGAGCTTTTCCGAACCCAGCTTAAAATAAACTCTATTTAATCTTTTATATTAAATAGGGGAACTTGTCGGCAAATACTTTGTATTAAATAGGGGAACTTGTCTGCAAATAAAACGGTTTTGCAGACCAAACAGATGTCATATATTTCTTAGTTTATTTGATTGAACCTCATCCTCAAGTCTTGTGTTTATCCATCGGGATAAATACAAGATTTAAGGTAGAGCGCTCTTTCACTTAAACTGTGAAAAATATGAGATCAGTTTGATTTCATATTTTTTTTAAATTAATATATATATAAATTAAAACATTCTTCCGAAGCGGGCGACGGGACTTCACTTCCAGCGACCGACAGCTTCTTACGGACAACTTTTGAACAAACCACCGCCAAACTTTTAACTTTACCCCCTTTTAGTGCCGACAGGTACATCGCCCTAAAAGGTTAGATTTGTATGAACATTTACTTGCAAGTGAGGGAAAACCATCAAATACCTTGAGAGAGTGCAATCTTCAATGGGACCCATGAATAGTTGAATACGAAACGAAACCTTCGACTATGAAATCGAAGCTGCCCCACCCTAGGAGACTGACACAGTTATTTAAACAATGGTCAAGTCGCATCTGTTAAAACACCCAGTTACGGGCATTAAACGACCTGTTTGGTCACTTTGAAGTTGGGGCCGGCCCGCCCGACATCGCAGAGCGCCGCAGAAGCAGGAGTGAGATCGTGATTTCTCGTGAAGTTTCGCGAGAGTGGATCCTGCATAATGACTTGGTTGATCTAGCGCAATGTGGGTTGGGGCATCATAAATCTGTTATTCTCGGAAGTGCTTTCTAGATTTCTGTAGGCTTCTCATTCTTTGTGTAGAAGCTTCCTTCGTCTGGAGGGAGCCTATAAATTGCTGTCTTAGGTATGTAGGGAGTCAGCTCAGATTTTGTTGCCTTCAGATCTCATGTAGAGTCCTTTTCCTATGTGTGGGTTGTATCCGAGGAGACGGTGGTGCTTCCACTGTATCATTCTCTGTGTTTCGACATCAGTCCCCATAGGTCACTGTGAATGGGAGAAAAAGAAGTGGAAGAAGTGTAAGTGTGGGGTGGGTAATGGACCTAATTATGTTTGGCTAACTAACATGTCTTATAATTGAGGTTAGAAGTATTTTTATTAGAAATCATCAAAGAATGCGGATTTTTTAAGTATTGGAAATTAGGATGACCTGAATGAGAATGCAACATCATAATGGGGCATTCAACGACTCAGGATAAACTACAACTTCTAAGAGGTGTGTCCACACTTTCAGTGCTATTTTCTTGGAAGTAATATAGTCCAGCTAATCTCTCAACAGTTTCAATCATCGTCCTCAAATGACTATACAGAAAAACACAAACATCAGAAGAGAAATTAACAACGAAATCAACATCATTCGTCATCTTGCTGACACTACCACGCTATATTAGAATTGGGGAACATGCAAAACAGACTTCAGAGCTATATTAGTTGTTAGTACAATCTACCATTTACTAAACATGAAACAACAAGAACTATCGGCGATTATAACTGTATTTTTTCCAGAGCAAGGATAATAAGTTGTGAAAGCTTGCGAGCATCCAATAATTCACTGGCTAGATGAGGTATAAATAGTGAGAGCCATAGAAAGTGTATCTTGTCGGATGAAGGAGGTTGACGGACCCGTAGAGACTTGATTGGCAACAAGAAGCTTGATCAATTGCTCAATCTGGGTTTTTGGTGATTCGGAGAATTCCATGATGTTCCTTATAGGAGTAGGTTGAGCCGTGGTAGGTTCGACCGTCGCCGTGAGACCCTTGATAGCGGATGATTTGGCCAAAGGTTTGTAAGCCGGCTTATCGTGAAGCTTCTAATACTTGCCCCGAGTGTGGTTGGGTTATTGACAGTAATCACATGTTAGGCATTCAGTCCGAAGTGGCATGGATGAGGGCTGAGTACTATTTGATTCAATGTGGATGATTTGGCTGAAGGAGTAGAGGTGCCGAGCATGACGAGTCTTCGATTTTTTTTTCTACGGATCTCAATGAAAGCGGAGCTAGTTGAAGAAAGAGGATCCCGACCAGGAATACGACTCACACTTTGTGAAAGTCTTTGTTAAATTCAGTCAGGAATTAGAACACACGATCCTTTTCTACAATCTTCTGGAAAAGGGATAGGTCACCGTAGAATCCTAAGTGCAGCCTTAATCTAGGCCGCATTCCATCCATAGTGCAACGAGGTCATGATAGTATTGGGTCACGGTCCTTGACCCCCGTTTTGCTTCTTGAATTTTATTAGATATTTCATAGAGTTGGCCAGAATTTCTTACATCCAAGTAAGTAGCACGAACAACCATTCAGAGAACACTAGCAGAAAGGAGGAACATATATGAACGGCCAATCAAGTCTTCTTGGAGTTGATCAATAACGACATGACCATAGAGTTCTACGCTTCCCAAGCTCCATTTACCGAGTCTGTCTTTGGAGGCTCACGAATCAATCTTGTGAGGTGACCGAACTTCACACGTCCTTTGATGAATAATGACCCTGCTTGAGTCCATTAGAGAAAATTATTGCCGTTAAGTTTATGAGTAGTGATCAATAAGCTCATGTTGATTTACGGTCCTCCTATTTGCCAGGGAGTGGAAGTTGGAGTCAATCCTCTTGTGGAATCAAGAACAACTTCTGAAGGTGATTCAATGTTGGCAGAATCTGCCATAATTCAGACAGAGCCAAATGAGATGTTATGGTTCCGAGGCATAGATGAATTTCAGTAGGGTCACGACAGGTGGATACAACTGCAAGAATTCTGATACTTGCAAGGAATTACAGAAGTATGGATCAACTATTGCTGCTGGAAACAAATGCCTATAGAGCCAAACTGTTGTTGGAAACAGAGCCAAAGGCAACATGTGGCTAGAAATAGACGGAAAAAAGCAACTTGCGACTGGAACTGGAAATGGACGCTTATAGAACTGGAAAATGATGAAACCTGCGGCTGCTGCTTCTTTCAGTAGACCCAACACCTGTAGAACCAACGGAAATGGTAGTTGGAACATGCTTATGGTTGCGCTTGCAGTAGGGGCTGTTGGAACAGGTGGAGGCCGACGGCAGCTGGAACTGTCAGAGGAGGCCTGCGGTTGCTGGCTCTAGGATTAGACTCTGATATCATGTTGAGAATTGAACTAGAGTAGTTTTTTTTTTTTTTTTTTTTTTTTTGAAAAAAGGGGGATTTTAAACCCCAATAACCCCAGACACAACAACGAAAAGAAATACACAAAATAAACCAATTAGGAAAGGACTAAATCATAATAAAGTAAAAAGAAAATACATAATGAAGGAATAAAAGTTTTTAAGAAAGAAATAATAATTAATAATGGCTAGGCATTTGATTGCCGTTAAATCTAATATTTTTTTCTTTTAGTCGTTTGTTAAATTCTGATATCATTTTCATGTTCGATAAAAGAGTTACATTCATTTTGTAAACTAAAATATTTCTAATTCCTTATTTGCACATTTAAAAACTTATAAAATTAAGCAAAGTTTGCTTTCTAAAATATAATTTGGCTATATTACCCAACTGAAAATTCGCAATAGGATAGAATTCTTTGTTACGATCATCTTGGAATCCTTTCCTTTTGTGTGCTATCTAAAAGTTTAAATGTCTCCATTTAGATGTTTCTTAATTTTTCACATGATTCGAAGTAAAATTAACCTCAATTTATTTTTACCTCAAATAACGGCTAATGCAAGCTGCTGCCCAGTGCTTCTTTTTGAAGACTTTTCACAAATAGAAGTAAACAAAATTGGATTTATCCTAATTCCTAATCTCCATCATTTTCTTCCTCCTTTGTGATCTTTTCCTCTTTTTACTTTCCCCTTCTTCGCATTCCTTTCCTCCCTTTCTTCTCTCTCTTTTCTTTTCCTTTACCTCAGCCTGTAGCCGCTCTTTTAGTTTCCACTTCCTTAATTCTGGATGTTGTATAAGTAGTTTTAGTTATTTTTTTGGGTATGAAAATGGGTCATAAAATTTTAAATAAATTTTGACTTTATCTTAGCAAAATTTTTCATATTACAGCTTGCTTACTTGGTTTGTAGAGTATCGGATTGACATCATTTTTGGTTTGTGCTCCCTGCAGATTCATGCCGATGAGACAAAATGTAGTCTCCTGTTTGCAAGCCGAGCTCTTCAAGTAAAAAATTGTGCCTGTGTAAATGAGGTCTTGCTCATTTGGAATCTACCTGCGCCAGCAAAACAATTTTCACTTTTTAATTATTGTTATCGATTAATTTATTTGTTTCCTGTTTAGTTACCTTTTGTTTATTATCAATTAGTAGATTTTACGTTGCATGTTTTTTTAATTTTCAGACTGTTAATTATGTTTTTTTGAACATTCAGATTTTGACAGATGCTGCACTATTGAAGCGTCAAAAAAAAGAAATTGAAGAGCTTCGTGCAAAGTTTCTGGCATTTCCTTGATTTCCTTGATTTTTCTGTTTAAAACATTGTTTCATTTTTTATTTTGGATTTGTTTCGCTAAAATTTTAGTTATTTTTTTGTACTTACAGAGTTCTCAATCTGACCATCTGGAGAAGGAAATTCTTAATTTACGGAACACCCTATTACAGGTCAGTAGTAGTCTTAGCCTGATAGCGTTTCTACTGATTAACTCTTGTTTTTTGATTTTTGCAATTTTCTCAATATATAGAGTGAGCTAGAGAAGGAGAGAATTGCTTTAGAGTTAGAAGAGGAAAAGAAAGCTAAAGCTCATCGTGAGAGAAGATTGCTGGAGCAAGCAAAGAAGATTGAAAATCTTAGTTCATTGATTTTATTTTCTGAACGGGAGGATAGAACTGTTCCTTCCACGAAGGTTTGCACTTATGTCTTTCTTATGGGATTTGTTGAGTAGCTAGATTGTCAGTTTTGCTTTGATGTTCATTCCGTACAAGTACCTTTAGGTAAATTTTAGAATTGGCTACTGCTTACCAATTCACTTTTAAATTTAGATTTTACTTCATTTATTTGCAACCTTAAATGGCGTGCTTAAGCTTTTGTAGGATGGCTTATTTGTTAACTTTATATGAACCTTCAAGCTATATTGTTTGTCTTGGTTGAAATAATATTCAATGAGTATTTTTATGCATTCTTAACTTTTTTGCCTTGATTTGGATGGAGAATTGGGATTTTTTAATAAATTCTTTTTTCCTATTTGCTTTGCTGCTTTTTGTATTTTCTTATATAAAGTAGAAGATCGCTAATCATAGAAATTTTATGCTTTACATATTATTCCACTCGTAATCTTGGTTAAAGGAACTCTATATGTTTTGATTCTACTTCTCCAGGCCAGCTTGGCAAATGGCAAATCTCACAATTTAATTGGGTGGCATGTAAGAGATTAGTTTGAGGAATTGGTTGTTAGGCAGTGTGGATGAACGAGCAAGAGTGGATTTATTTATTTTTATTCAATTCTTTGAAAAGCCGTTTTGGTTGAATTAGGTTTCTAAATTGACTTTTCACCTTTTTGCAGATTAGTCTACGCAGTGTATGCATTCGTTCTCTACTTAGAGCTCCTCTTATTGGCTATTTCTTAAAGGGCTTACCATCTTGGCATCTGCATGGACGGTTCCAATACATGGACGGTATCTTGCTGTTTTAGGATGTATTGTTGCAAGCTGCCAAGCTACTTCTTGCCGTCATTATGGACTATTGCTCTTGGATAGGGTTGTAATCTAGTCGAGCTTGAGCGAGCTTGGGCTCAACTTGTTAAAAAATTTCACAGTTCGTGCTCGACTCGATGCTCGACTCGTTTATATATCGAGTGCATAAAATTTATTCGTGTTTGACTCGTTTGCTTGGTGAGCCGAACACGAGCTGTTTGCGAATAATGAGTCTACCAACCCTAGTCACGCAACCGTAGAATGTTAAGAGTAGGGGTGAGATTTAAAACTTGTTATTTTTATTAATATATTGATTTAAATAGAATTTGATTTATTTTTGTTTTATTTTTTTAATTAATAATTTTAATGAGTATAAATCTTTGTAGCCTTGTATTCAATTAAATTGTTTAAAAATAATACTCATCAATTAGATGCATACATATGTATACGTACATACATATTCATATGTATACATACATACATATACATATTTATACGTACATACATATACATATGTATTGGCCGTATGATCCATGACCTCACAACCAGAGGTAATCGAGAAGAACCAATGAAATCAGGGCAAGTGAGGGCCTACGAAACTTCATTCCGCCAGTAACGACGGAATCACTGGTGTACAATCCTCCTCTTAATTGGCAAGCCTCAACACCTTGTTGCACAGAAATCTTCTCTCTGTAGCAACGCTTCGCTGCGCTGAAACCCTCGCCTACCCGAAGGTCTTGCAACCGCAAGACAGTTGCGAGTGCTTGCCGGGAAGGCGACGACACGATCACTTTTTTCTAGCTGCTCTGGGGATGACATCAACTATCCGTTTCAATGCCACTGCACTTGTCGGCGACTTTCATATTCCTACTCATGCTCCTCTTTCAAGTTCAGAGCCTGATTTTCATATTGAAAAGTCTTGCAATGTTTCACAATCTTTCTATGAGGCTCTTGAAGGTGGTGGTGATCACACTTTCATTAAAAAGCTCAGTAAAAAAAAATGGAAAGCCTGCTCTTATTCTCACAGAGTTTGAAACTAATACTCTCGCGTCTTCTTGACGTTTTGCTATAGTGGGAAAATTTCTTTATCGTCACCTAAAACTTGAGATCATTTGGAAAGATTTTGATGCTATGAACTCATGGACAGTTGGAATATTGGTTTACTTGATGGTCGACATATACTTATTTAGTTATCCCACGATGCCGATTACAATTGTATTTTTTCTCGAAAAGTTATCAAGATCGACAACCGTTTTATGAAAATTCTGAAGTGGACTGTCGATTTTGATCCAAAGGCGGAGTCCCCTATCATTCTTGTTTGGATAAAGTCATTCTAGTTTGGATATCATTCTTGTTTGGATAAAGTTTTCGGGCTTAAAATTACATCTGTTCAAGTTGAAAATTCTCTACTATTTAGCAACATCTTACGGTAAGCCTCTTAAGGTTGATAATTCCGCGCTTGCTGTTACAAGACCATCTGTGGTTTGTGTGTTAGTTAAGAGAGATATAACTCAACTAGCTCCGGATGAGGTATAAATTAGAACTATTTATATTTCAACCTTTTGTCACAGAGGGTATTGACAAAATGTTGAAATAGAACCATATCCTCCTTATTGCTCTTCTTGTAGTATGTTTGACCACAACTCTACTATTTGCCATTGTTTGCTTTCTCATCTAAGGCCGAATATCGCTAAAGATCAACCAATCCCTGTTGAGAAGGTGCAACCCGATCTTTTTTCGAACACTGCAGTTCCTTATGAAGAACACCGTACTACAGATACAGATCCAAACGTACTTATACCGCCCACTGTTATTGAAGAAGTCTCACTTATATGCCAAGACACATGAGAGTGCTCATTTGATCCAATAAAATTCAGCTGGTACAACAAGTAGTTGCTTCTAGTGTTCAACAACCTACACATGTTCGACGCACTTTAGATCATTTCACTGATCAGGTGATTTAATATTCAAATGAGGAATGACAAACCTATTCCAGGCGGAAGAAGAAGAATGGAGGTCGACTAAAGCTTGAGAACTTATTGAATGATACATTGATTACTACTAGTAATGACACTAATCTTACTAATTTATTAGCTGACTCCTTCCCTAGAACTCGAGGCAGAGGCAAGACAAAATTTGATTGCTCTCTAGCTACCTTCTGCTACGTATTTTAACATTTTTTGGTTTTTTTCTTTAGGTCTCTCATGTATTTTTGCGTGTTCACTCTTTTTGGAACCGTTTGTGGTTATTGTGGGGGCAGGGTGCCATATTTGGGCTCTCCCACACAATCTATATGTATCTTTCTTTCTATTTAATATATTAGACTTTGGGCTTTCTAAAAAAGATATGTATATACATATACATTTACATATGTATATGCTTATATATATAATAATGGCGTCCGTGGCGGGCAGCTCTGCTAGAGTTTTGCCCGATGATGATTATGTGCGTTGAATCTTTCAACTTTTAATCCATCGATTTCGCCGTGCTCAACGATGAAGGTTTTCTCATACTGGACGACGAAGGGCTTCTCCTTATGCTTTTTTGCACGTCGTCTCCTTTTGACGCATTTGCGCCATCGTTTCGTCCTGCCCGATGACGAAGGGCTTCGACTCCTCTGCTCCGTCTTCCTCTTTGAGCTTCATCGAGGCTCTGTCTTCCGCTGTTCGTGTCTTCTGCGCGGCTGTTTCGTCTGTCTTCGTAGACCTAATCGAGTTGCGCCTGTTTCGTGGCTTCGACTTTTGCGACTTTGCCTCAACCGTCTTCGACTTGTCGTTTTTGCCCTCTGCTCGACTTGGCAAGGCTTTTCCTTGTTGTGATGGAGCTCCCTTCTTTTTCGGTTGAACCTGATAAAACCTCCTTTGCCCACGTGGTGGGTAAACCTCAGTTGGAGTTGACTGTTGTTTCCCCTCAAGTTACATGGAGTATCGTGATGATACATATGACTGTCATTTTATTAAGAATGAATGTAGGAAAAGTGGGAAAATAACATATTTTTTCTTTGAGTTAGAAATTTCAACCCTGACTGAGAAATTCAAGTTCGCTATTATGGAAAAATTTCAGTGGGACACCCACATTTGAAAGTTATCAGGAAAATTTTTTATTATTTCAAACTAGCAAGAAAGTGCAAAGTAAAGCTCATGGATGAGAGATATGTCTTGATTCAATTAACCGTGACTGAAGACTACTCTCAAATTTTTACCAAAAAATATCTTAACATTTCAGACAAATATATGAAGTTTTTCAAGTGGTCTCCTAATTTTGACTTAAATCATGAATCTTTTACTGTACCGTTATGGTTTAGTCTACCTGATCTTAAGCTGCAATTTTTTCATCATTGGGTTCTTTACTTTATTGGGGCCATGCTTGAGGACCCTATGAGCTAGATCTACCCACTTTCAACCTAACAAGACCTTCTTTGGCCAGAATACTTGTGGAACGAGATATCACTTTACCTGATATTACTGAAGTCTGGTTAGACACAACTCATAATGGATATTGACAACAAATCGTCATGAAGCATAGACCTTTTTATTGTTATCATTGTAAGATGTTTGATAATACCCTTAATAAATGCCATAAGCTTTATCTTAATTTGAAATCTAAAGATCAAATGAATAAGGATGGATCTAACCCCATTGCTCTGGACATATCTGTTTTGCCTGGAGAGAAAACTCTCACAGGACGGGATTTGGTGTCTGACTTAATTGCCCTGTGGACCCCCCTTGAAAATACTGTTTCTGCGATTGATTTGAAGCTGGTTGGCTCTGCTGAGCAACCTACACTTTCAAATCCTATTGAAAACAATACTGAAAGATCCCTACCTACACGGACTGATAATTAGGAGAACCTTACAGCTCTTAATCTTTTGGAAGTATCATGGGTAGAGGTGGCAACTCATACCTCACATACGCTAGAACTTATTGTGGGTACAACTGTTGGCAATCTTTAGACTACAACACTACCACCTTATTCGAATGAGCAACAATCTTCGGATGAGGAATGACATGTTTACACTTCCAGGAGGAAGAAGAAGAATGAAAATCTACTTGAGTTAATGAATCTAATGGATGATACTTTGATTACTTCAGACAATGGTACGCACCTCGCCAATTTGTTAGCTGATTCCCCTTCCGAGAACTAAAGGCAGAGGCGGAACTATATTGGGTCGTCTCTATTGATCTTATATGTACCATCTAGTTTTGGGT